CGTTTCAGATTCACAGTCAGTCCAGTCCTTACTAGCATATCACGTCCAATAGACATAATAAGCCCTTACAACAATCTCTATATAATCAACTTAAAATTACTGATTATTAAGCTTGAAAACCAAAACTTCAGTATTAATTTCCTGTGGATAAAAGCACATGCCGGCCTACAGTTCAACGAAATAGTTGTCAATCTAGCCAAGCAAAGCATTAACACTGGACAGTACATGGAAAACAATATCAGTATAGATGAATGCATTTCAAACTTTAAAAAAAGACTTAAAGACAAATGGAAATACTTGTGGAAACAATACTGCAATGACTCATGAACCCGCTACACTTTGCTGCACCCAGTCATCCCTAACGAAGTGTGGCACAAGAACCTCACTTAGACAAGAAATGAAATAGTCACCATTAGCAGACTAAAATTCGGACACGCATGCTACCCTCTCCATTTGCAAAAAATCGGTTTACAAGAATCTAATCTTTGTGACACTTGCAATACACTAGGCGATTTAGACCGTATATTCTTCGGATGTAATAAATTCGGAAATCACAGCGATCAACTTGTTGAAAACCTAATAAAATGCAAAATTTACCCCCCCTTCAATTTATTATACCTTCTTAAAAAACCCTCGTTATTGTCGATTAGGTTAGCTTTAGGTTAAAATATTAATCACTTTTTTTTATTATTATATTTTTTGTTATTCTTCGAAAAAAAAAACAAAAAAAAGATATATTAAAAGAGATATACATCCATACACGCGCGCTTGAGCAGAAGCCAATGTGACCGTGTGTGACTAACATATTTTATAGCTGGCTAAATGGATACAACCTTGCAAAAAAAGCATTACAACTATTAATAAATATTTTAGTTATTGTGTTATTTGTTTTGTTGTAAATACATTAAATCATTTATAAACATTATTAGTTATAGACTTTTCTTCATATTTTGAGATTATTTTTAAAATATTTGTCAGGTTATGTAGAAAGTTTGACATTGATTTTTGTGTAAAAAATAAATGAAACTTTACCTACCGTTTTTCTATTGTAAATTTAATTTTAATTTTCACAATTTGTCACACATGTCTAATAAAATAATATATTTTTAAAATACCTTTTATTGGCAAATAAATCAAGTGAACGAAAATGTTCTAGCACAATACATAACATTACCCAGATACAAACTAGAATAAAGATATAGAAGTTTAACAAACCCCCTTAACTCCCATTTTCAATCAGATTTTTTTCAGAATCAATAGGCTTCATCCCCCTTCTGAAATTTTGTATTTAAACATTTAAATCACCCATAAACCCCCCGAGATTTATTCAAATTTTTTTCACAATCAGTAGGCCTCATCTCTGACTTTTGCTAAAAAAATTATGTTGATATCGCTTTTTGTTTTTCGTTTTTAATTTAGGATTTTTTTTTATTTCAAACCATCTCAATCCCCCATTTTTAATCCTATTTTTTCAAAATCAATAAGCTGTGTCCCCTTATAGAAGTTGTCTTTAGCTTAAAATTTTCAAGTTGATATCGTTTTTCGTTTTTAACTTATCGTGCAGACAAAAAATGTGACATCGGACAGACGGACAAAGTTAACCTATAATACTCTTAACAGACTACTCTATGAAGAGTATAATAATAACAAAATCAAGGCTAAAACAATAAACTAGAAAAATGGTACGATAAAAAAATGATAAAGTCAAAGTTTTGATAATTATTTAATAAGAACTTAGTGCCTCGGAGGTAAACTGCACTGTCATTCTAGTCAACTTTTTAGTAGAGCAGACTGAATGTTGTTTGGACATTTTTGTATTCCATATTTACATATATGAATTATATTTCGACAAGAAATGCAGTCAGCCCCAATTATTGTCACAATATGTATTGTTTACTAATAATCTAACTATTAAAACTTTTTTTAATGTACATGAATTGTAATTTTGGTAACAATTTTTCTATGACATTATGTCATATACCTCCAACATGCCTATAAATAGTATGACATAGTTCAGTTTACCTCTTAGGTACTGATATCAATAAATATTTAATTAAGTCTTCATGATATAGCTACATACCTAACATGGACGCAACTATTTAGTTTCTTAAATTAATTTAGGCCAATGCAATATTTATTTTTTATATCGTCTTTAATAATAATTTTAATGTAAGTTTACCTTCCATTTTTGTAAACGCATGCGACGATGCAACACCTTCATTCGAATAAAATCTTCACCGCTACATCAGTCTGACACTGTTTATCAGTACCTCTGGCATTTATAGATAGGACATATTTCTATAACTTCAAATTCATTAGGGACAACCTACAAAATAAAACAATTATTTATACAAAATTGTACTAGGGTCAAGAAATTATCTTTGTTCAAATAATATATTATAATGAAATTGTCATACTTGTAATTTAAATAGTTATCCTGATCAGGCCCTTCAGGATTAGTGATTTTCCTAATCCGATACCGTTTTTTATCCCTGTGGTAACTTTTTATTACATTTTATTCAATGATAAATACGGATGCGTTTTGACCTTAATAGTTTACGACATGGTTTTCCATAAACAAACAATTTTTCTATTCAATTCAAACAAAATTGAATATACAAATGATTATATACGTTCACTTAAAGTAACGTAAAAAAAATAAAATCAATAATTGTAGTAATCACGGTCGCAGCAAAAGTTAATTATTGAACTGTATATTCGGTTGTTGAGCTAAAAATGTAACTTATTATTTCGTTCAGGAGAAATATTAATTCTTTCGTAGGAAAAATTTACCATCAGACTATTTTTACGGACGCAGGAAAAATTAACTATTTAACAGTTTAATTGTTAAACAAACTAAAAATGCAATTTAATATTTTTCTAAAGAAAATAGTATTTACGGTCGTAGGAAAAATTAACTGTTAAATTGTCTAATCGGTATTTACAATCAAATGTAATTGAATGTTTTGGCAAAGTAAAATTGCATATATGGTTGCAGAGAATGTGAGGAGACAGGTTCCGGACAGTACTACTTTCAGGGCTGAAACCGGGACTCTATGAAAAGTTTACTCAAACTAGTGATTGGAAAGTAAAACCAACTAACAACCAGGATAGCACATTATCTCTGAAAGAAGTGATCGTAATCACGAGCGCTTCAGACAGGGGAATGCTACTATTTATGTTCACTTAAAATAACGGAGACTTACGCAAATGAGTCTTTCAGACGTAAAATAAACTAATAACCGAGATAGCACATTACCTCTAAATAAAGTAATCGTAATCACGAGCCGTTTCAGACAGGGGAATAATACTATTTAAGTTCTCTTAAAATTTGCGGTTCGAACTATAAAATAAAAGAAAACGTCTCGTCGCAATTATAATAAGATAACAAATCAGAATATTAGATGATTCCCAAATAGTTCCGACCAATTCTTTATTGGATTAGGCTTTAAATAAACTAAAACGAAATTTACGATTTTTCCATGGAAATTTAAGGTAGCAGGAAAAATTAACTATACGACTATCGTTACGATCGAATGAAAAATAAATGATTTAACAGTTAAAGCCTAAAATAAACTAAAATTAAATTCCAAAAAAACGGTGCTTTCTAACAAGAATAAATTAAAGTATTTTTTAATCATAACAAATTTCAATTCCTAACTCAACACGGAATAATATTAATTAAAAATAAATCAAAATAAAACGGTTTCAAATAGCACGGTCTAAAGTCTCGAGCGGAAAAAATCTATAAAAAGAATAACAACAATTTACCTATCGTCAAGATCGCGGCTAGAAATGTATATCGGTTTCAAATTGTATCTCTTGCGGATTTCGGTGTCTAAATAATTTTTCTATTTTCAGCTGTTCGATAAATCGGTGTATTAGAAACTAAAAATTTTAATTGAATCTCAGACCTCATTTAATCATCGATAGCCCTTCCAATAACAGAAACCCCACCATTACAACTCGCACGCAGAGTATTTGGACGATATGGTCTAAATTGCGACAAGCTGATATACAGGATATATCCACGAAGTTAAAATTAAGTAAAAATCGAAATTTATACCCGGAATTAGTTAAAAAAATATTTAAAAATTGACTTCATTACATGTTTCTCAATGGTAAACTTTAAAATTGACTACGGTTTAAATTCAACTATTAGTTTAATTTTTATATATTTTTGTTAAATAAAGGTTTTAATCTACATATTTTTTGTGATTAAACGATATTAAACATATTGTTCAACGAATAAAACTTGGAAAGTTCATGCAGTATTTATATTTTTAATCTTTAAATGCGAATTTCCTAAATATCAATAGGTGAGTTAACTGAGATGGAAAGTGGCTCCTATATACAGGGTCATTCTATATGGGCGGAACGGGTCATTCTATATGGGCGGAACACTTGATTTATGGCTTAACTATGACGAATGATAATTTGACTTATATAAAAGTTTTTGAACATTTTATGTACTATTTATTGACGTTTACAGATTTCCCGCATAAGTAATGGTTTTCAAGATATGACGTCATCGGGCAATATTTCAAATGTCTGGGACCCACTTAATGTACCATTGATGAAATCAGACAGATCATACGAACTCGAAAAAAAATATAAATACAGAGTGATCCATTTAAAATATTGCCCGATGACGTCATATCTTGAAAATCATTATGTATGCGGGAAATCTGTAAACATCAATAAATAGTACATAAAATTTACAAAAACTTTTATCCAAGTCAAATTTTCGTACAAGTCATAGTTAAGCCATAAATCAAGTGTTCCGCCCATATAGAATGACCCGGTATAAAGACACCTGGATTTATAGCGCAAGGACGAATACACTTTCTGCTCCAGCTGTTCATGCGTTATTTTATTCACAGATATGTTGGGCAATTTGCTATTTATTTGAACGCCCAGAGGAGGAGACAGTCTCTAAAATTTATACAAGAAAATTAAACATTACTTTTTAGATTTTATTATTTTTACAATATTACAAATCACATCAAAAATTCTAAACACAATACAACGAAACAAAGTATAACACAACAAAAGTACATAATGAAAGTAGTTTGAAAATCTTTCAAAGTCAAAGGTATATATGACCGTTTTACCTTTGCAAGGTACAATGCTCTCTTATATTTTCTTTCAAGATTATCAGAAATATATTTTACAAAGCCTGCCTCGTATAAGTACATTAATTTCTTGTTGAAAACTGTAAATAGAGGATGTCCTAGTCGAAAAACTATAACAAAATAAAATAAATCGTGATAATCTTCTTCTAATACATTCAACATCGATTTTCCATCTTTATCAAGATAATGTATTGGAACGTAATACTGCAACTGTTTAATAAAGCAGGAAGTAATTACATTTTTCTCAAAAGCAGTTTTGTTAATACATTCCCAGTAATTCTGTGAACAAAATTCGAAATCTTTTTTTGATAGACCTAATTCAATTGGATCAGTAGAAACTTTATACATTTCCATAAGTAGCGGATCTGGTAAAGCAATCGTTAATGAAGAAGTTAAAACATCAGCTCTAGAATTTATAAGTTGAAAATTATTATCAGTTCTCATTAAATCGAACATTTTGCTTTTGTATACAGTGGATATGATCAAAGTAAAGATAAGATAATTTAAAAATAAAACCTTGAATGATAGTAATTTTGTACGTATCATTGCACTGCCTTCAAACAGCACACTCAGAAGTATGTAAATTATCGATTCTTTATTTTTATCTTTAAATAAGTAAGATATAAAATAAAACAACGCATATAAGAGCACAAATAATCCAAATAAATACCACCAAACAACGTTGCTATATTCTTTAGTAAAAATTACCCATCTGTTTTGCTCCACCAGATTTGGAGTAACAAAAACCAATTTATCTTGAATTAATCCAACTGTCTTTTGAGTTTCAAGATACTCAACCATTCTATCGCTTATTTTTGACACGTACATATCATAATTTCGCGTTTTGAATTCTTTTGCAACATCTAAAACAGTCGTAGAAGGTTTCACACTTTTATATTCTAGCTTTAACCTCAAATTTGCTGCAACCATATTTACCAACTCGATGATTATCCCCTTAGAACTGCTAATGACGTATGGAGGCGCAATTCCGTATAACACTTTGAGATTATTATGAGGTTTAATACAGCCATGAAATAATCGTTTCTCAAAGATTAATTTGGAACATGAACCTAGTAGAACGCTGTATAATTTGCCGGATGATGAACACCTTAAACTGAAAACTGAATAACTGTTTATTGTGACAATTAATACGTTATAAATGAAGTATTTATCTAGAACTTCTAGAAAATCTTCATTAATTTCATCTACAAATATAACAAACTTCTTATGTGAAATTAGCAGTATTGAAGAATATAGGACTTTTAGAGCTTGAGCTGTGTGCCCTGATATTATATATAAATCAGGTTGTTTTCTTCCTCTTAAATTTATTTTGAAAATTGTAGAGTACCTTTTCACAGGATATTTAGTTTTGACATTTGTATTTACAAGAATAATTATATCTTTTATGTTAAAAGATGATTCTAATATGTTATTGGTACATATTTCAATATCATTTTCAGATTTTTTAACTGAAATATTTAAAGAATTAGCATTCTGTAATATGAAAGTCAGTAGAAATTGTATAACTACTTGATTCATTATAAGTGTTTTAAATTTTAATCCTGTAGAGAAGTAGACAGAAATATTTTATTTTGAAGAATATTTTATGGTATTCTGTATATGAATGAAAATTTCTTTTTTTATATATCTCATTTTAAAAATGGAAGCAATATACTAAAAGGTATTAATCAAATTAATGTAACAGACAATTTATGTTTGAGTAGAAAGGACAACATGCTAAGTATCAAGAAAAGATAGGTTTTATTAATATTAAAAAAGTAAACTACCCATACAAAAAGTATCTACAACTTTAATTATTGCCAATCACGTCAATATGAAATGGAAACACAGCGAATGATAAATTACCTATTAGAATTTCTTAGGTTTAGTTAATTAGAACTTATACAAACAAAAAAGTTAACTAACTCAGAGACAGCTAGAAGAGTGATAATAAAATAATTAAAATTACAAATAATAATTAATACAATCAAATTATAAATTATTATTTATCATATATCTGTAGAGAGACAGCTTTACTTATGCTTAGAGCTCACGAGCGTAACAAATAATAATGGTAAAAAATTTCATATTTGTTAGTTACATTTGAAGGACTATATGAAAATAGTAGTTTGTGTAACAAGAGTGGATATGGACAATCCACTCGAGTTGTACAGTATATTTTTTCTCCGACGCACTTATGAAAATCTAAATATTTAAAAAATTATTTTAGGTTATTAAGACAAAATAACTAATTTTAAAATAATTTATGAATTTTACTAATTTACAAAATAAAATAAACATAAAAAAAAGTTAAGTCCCCAGCCCAGATTCGAACCCGGGCTTTTCGTGTGGAATGCAGATGCTCTATCCGCACCTCCACAGCCACTTTTAGTATTTTACTTTTAATACTCCTAATTAAATTAGTTTCATATAGTTTGATTATTTTTTTTTAAATGCTATTATTAATCGATTCTACACAAAAATAACTCATTTCAATATTTAAATTCAATAACCGAAAAATATTCTGACAATTAGTTTGACAGAATACCTCATTTAAAATGTTAAAAGATAATAGTAGTTGGGTGTCCAAAATATGAACTGTGATATTGGACCAAACATACCAAACATTTTTTCACAGATAAAATCTTATATTCTGTTCAGTGCAATGTAAAATGTTTAAAAGATTCAATGTTCATGGTAGACATTTTTATATCCTGCTATATCCTCAAGAAATCATATATCCTCGAGAAATTCTTATACATCCTAGTAGTTCCTCGAACATCCTCGAACATCTTCGTACATCTTTATACATCCTCTTACATCCTTATACATACTCGAGAAATCTTCATACATACTTGTAAATCTTCTTCTTTCAACGCCTACGTCCTCAATGGTTTAGACGAACTTGTCGGAATATGGGTCATTAAAATAATTAAAATTACTAAAATCAATATTGTTACAGATTGAAGAAAAACCACTAACTACTAAAGAACATATGAGTTGGACTTCTGATCAATGGGATGTAGTTGCGCGTGAAGGTCGCGGGTTACTTTTAAAGAAGTGCTTTCAGAGGAAAACGTTTATTTATATATAAAAAGTGACAATATGTATATTGAATTGACATTAATTAATTAGCATTACAATAAACTCATTTCTTTAGAAACATGGTAACAGTGTCGACCCATCGGCTCGTCAATCAACAAGCAAACTTGATAGTCTAATCAACAAGTTCAAAAGCGTGTTTTTGAGACATACTATTACGAAAATTTTGTTCAATAGCTCATTTGATTCGGAATAATGTCTAGATCAATGTGTGGAGAAAAATTTTGCAGTGCATAAAAAATTGCAAAAGTTATAAACAATTAAACACATCAAAACATGGTGTTTGGTTTTTCGCCTATAGTTTGTAAACTATAAATATTTTTGGATTTTTCAAAAAATATCCTTAAAGAGGAGGAAATTTGCTATAAATAAGTTCCGACTTTCAGAACTGTACCTCCATTATTTATAATTTTAATTTAACGCTCAAAGTAGCATTTTTAGGTTGCGCGCACGACGTCGAAACCGAGCACGTTACATAAAATAAACTAAATTAAATTCAAAAATTTAAAAAAATTACGTTGTATTCTAAACACTTGGAATAATTCACTCCCGTTGGAATTTTTCATAAAAATTAATTTTATAACAAAGTAGGTTATTGTTAATTAACAAAATTTTTAGAATTTCTCTCATCATTACAAATTGATAAAAATATTAAATAATTACCGTAATTTTTTTTGCTTCGTCGAGCTCTTTTGGTATACATATAAAACAAAATAGCTTCATAAAAGTTTAAAAAATGTTAATACTTTTGTTTATAATATTTTTTTAAAGTTTACAAAACAGAAATAAAAAATTATTTTTCAATTTATTATAATACTGTTTTAATGTCGAGACATTTATTAATTAAAAAAAATTTTTTTTCCTTTATTTTTTTTATAAATTTTTTATGAACAAATGGAGTATTTTAATTTTTTTCAAATTTTTGTTTACAACTTTGTAGACAATTATGATTTTTAAAAAAAAAATTTTTCTTAATAATAACTTTTAATTGTTTATTTATAATCGTTTTTTTAATATATCTATTGTTTAAATTATTAGTTAAGAAATGTGTTTTTTTTAAATCATAATTGACAGTCCTCTACAAAGTGACAGCAAAAAAATTTTTTTTTATTAATAATTCCATTGTTTATTAAGTTAACAATTTGTTATAAACAAATTCCCAACTTTGATTTATTTTTTCCTAAAAGAAATAAAAATTCCAAGAACGACTTAGTGTATTAAAATTACGGAAAAAATTTTATTCCATTTTTTATTAAACTTAAAAAAATAATCAATTTTTATAAACAAACATAAAAAACAACAAACTGACAATAGGTACGGAATTGACAAATGACTTATTGCCTACAAAAATGACTTGAATGTTTATTGTCGTATCTCCAATAGTTTAAAAGTTATATCAACTTTTAAGTCAACAAATGGATCAGCTGCTGCAACTTTGATAGTACGTATATTTTCAAAGTTTAATAAAAAATCTGATGTGTCCAACACATGACTTTCCTATCTAGTTATTATAGGCATTTTCCGGTTATTTTGTACAACCTATTGCAGCATCTCTATAAATGTTTAGAGGATAAACTAAATATATACATTTTACACATACATCTACCTCGAAACATTTTTCTATAGATATTCATTGAAAACGAAAATACAGAAAAATTTAAATTTATCACTTTTCCATTACGGTCCATTTTAGAAAAATCATGTATAAACAAAAATTATAGAAATCGATATCGCAAACAACTTTTAGTTCAACAATTTTCATAAAAATCAGAATTTTGCACATTTTGTCAAATTTCTCGAATACGGATCATTTCAGGAAATTTTGACATAAAGCAAAAATTATAGATAATAATAGAAGTAACTTTTATTTGAACAATTTTCTTCTCCAAACATAAATAACAGATATATTCCATAAAATATAAAAACGGCCTCCCATAAAGTACCCCCCCAGATGTTCCGACTTTGTCCAAAATCTAATCATTTCACGTCAGGCCGAAATAAACCTTAAGTTTAAAATTTAATGTTTTTTCCTTTATCCGTTTTTGAGTTTTCTTCAAATTTCGAAATTTACACATTTTTTCAATTATCTCGAATACGGTCCATTTTAGAGAAATTATGTATAGGACAAAAATTATAGAGAATTATATTACAAACAACTTTTATTTGAACAATTTTTATAAAAAAGTATGTTTTTACAAAATCTAATCATTTCAGGTCAGGGCGAAATAAACCTTAAGTTTAAAATTTAATGTTTTTTTCTTTATCCGTTTTTGAGTTTTCTTCAAAATTCGAAATTTATACATTTTCTCAAATATCTCGAATACGGTCCATTTTAGAGAAATTATTTATAAAATAAAAATCATAGAGAATTATATTACAAACAACTTTTACTTAAACAATTTTTATAAAAAAATATTTTTTTTTACATTTTGTCAAATTTCTCGAATACGGACCATTTTAGGAAAATTGTATAAAACAAAAATTATAGATAATTATATTAGAAGTAACTTTTGTTTAAAGAATTTTCTTCTCCAAACGTAAATAACAGATATATTTCATAAAATATAAAAATGACCACCTATAAAGTACCCCCCAGATGTTCAGACTCTGCCCAAAATCTATTCAGTTCATTAGACGCCGAAATAAAGCTTAAGTTTAAAATTTGGTGTTTTTCTGTGTATCGATTCGTGAGTTATGCGACCTACAGACACACACACATACACACACACACACACACACACACACACACACACACACACACACACACACACACACACACACACACACACACACACACACACACACACACACACGCACGCACGCACGCACGCACGCACGCACGCACGCACGCACGCACGCACGCACGCACGCACGCACGCACGCACGCACGCACGCACGCACGCACGCACGCACGCACGCACGCACGCACGCACGCACGCACGCACGCACGCACGCACGCACGCACGCACGCACGCACGCACGCACGCACGCACGCACGCACGCACGCACGCACGCACGCACGCACGCACGCACGCACGCACGCACGCACGCACGCACGCACGCACGCACGCACGCACGCACGCACGCACGCACGCACGCACGCACGCACGCACGCACGCACGCACGCACGCACGCACGCACGCACGCACGCACGCACGCACGCACGCACGCACGCACGCACGCACGCATGCACGCATGTACGCACGCACGCACGCACGCACCCACACGCACGCACGCACGCACGCACGCACGCACGCACGCACGCACGCACGCACCCACACACACACACACAGACACACACACATACACACATACACACACACACGCACGCACGCACGCACGCACGCACGCACGCACGCACGCACGCACGCACGCACGCACGCACGCACGCACGCACGCACGCACGCACGCACCATGCACGCACCATGCACGCACGCACGCACGCACGCACGCACGCACGCACGCACGCACGCACGCACGCACGCACGCACGCACGCACGCACGCACGCACGCACGCACGCACGCACGCACGCACGCACGCACGCACGCACGCACGCACGCACGCACGCACGCACGCACACACACACACACACACACGCACACACGCACACACGCACACACGCACACACGTACGCACAGACATCATCGCGAAAATAGTCAAAACGGATTCAGGGGACCTCAGAACGTAAAAATCCGTCGAAAACTCGAGGTCGAAAAAAATCATGATTCCTATACTTTCCTTATATCTGTATACAGATAGGAAAGTAATTAATGAAAGAAATAACTCTGAAAGATATATGAGAATAACATGTGATAATAATTAAGATTAAATTTTTTTTTTAAATTTCTTGTTTTAACAAAATGCTATTTGTTTTTAGGTTCTAATCCTTCGACTAAAGCAGGATTCACGAGACTATAATTGTTTAATGTCATAAAAAAATATTTTAAAAGATGTTCAAATATTTATGCAAAAACTGATTAATAATTTTTGTTTGAAAAACGTACAATACACTTTATTAGATGACGAGAAAGGGATAATAAAATATTTGGTGTTCAAGATGAAAATTAGATAAAATTTGAAAAAAAAAAATTACCTCTATCTGTAAATATTTCAGAAGAACAATAAATGGTTAAAGATAGCTCGGCCTCTGAATAAACGATATTAAACATATTGTTCAACGAATAAAAATTGGAAAGTTTATGCTGTATTTATATTTTTAATCTTTCTGCATCAGTCGTTCGGGCGTTATTTTTTATGCACGGATATTTAGGGCAATCTGCTATTTATTCGAAAGCCCGGAGGAATAGACTTTTCTAAAAATTTATATAAGAAAATTAAACATTACTTTTTAGATTTTATTATTTTTACAATATTACAAATCACATCAAAACCTCTAAACACAATACAAAGAAACAAAGTATAACACAACAAAAGTACATAATAAAGGTAGTTTGAAAATCTTTCAAAGTCAAAGGTATATATGACCGTTTTACCTTTGCAATGTACAATGCCCTCTTATATTTTCTTTCAATTTTATCAGAAATGTATTTCACAAATCCGGCCTCGTATAAGTACATTAATTTCTTGTTAAAAACTGTAAATATAGGATGTCCTAGTCGAAAAACTATAACGAAATAAAATAAATCGTGATAATCTTCTTCTAATACATTCAACATCGATTTTCCACTTTTATCAAGATAATGCATTGGAACGTAATACTGCAACTGTTTAACAAACGAGAACGAAATTACATTTTTATCAAAAGCAGTTTTGTTAACACATTCCCAGTAATTCTCTGAACACAACTTGATATCTTTTCTTGATAGACCTAGTTCAATTGGATCAGCAGAAACTTTAAACATTTCCATCAGTATTGGATCTGGTAAAGCTAGCGCTAATGAAGAAGTTAAAACATCAGCTCTAGAATTTATTAGTTGAAAATTATTATCAGTTCTCATTAAATCAAACATTTTGCTTTTGTAAACGGTGGTTATGATCAAAGAGAAGATGAGATAATTTAAAAATAAAACCTTAAATGATAGTGATTTTGTACGTATCATTGCACTGCCCTCAAATAGCACACTCAAAAGTATGTAAATTATAGATCCAACATTTTGATCTTTAAATAAATACGATATAAAATAAAACAAAGCATATAAAAGCACAAATAATCCACATAAATACCACCAAACAACGCCGCTATATTCTTTAGTAAAAATCACCCATCTGTTTTGATTCACCAAATTTGGAGCAATCAAGACCAATTTATCTTGTATTAATCCAACTGTCTTTTGAGTTTCAAGATACTCAACCATCCTGTCGCTTATTTTTGACACGTACATGTCATAATTTCGCGTTTTAAATTCTTTTGCAACATTTAAAACAGTCGTAGAAGGCTTCACACGTTTATATTCTAGCTTTAACTTCAAATTTGCTGCCACCATATTCACCAACTCGATGATGATCCCATTAGAACTGCTAACGACGTATGGAGGCGCAATTGCGTATAACACTTTAAGATTATTATGACGTTTAATACAGCCGTGAAATAATCGTTTTTCGAAGACTAATTTGGAACATGAACCTAGTAGAACGCTGTATAATTTTCCGAACAATGAACACCTTAAACTAAAAACTGAATAATTGTTTATTGTGACAATTAATGCGTTATAAATGAAGTATTTATCTAGAACTTCTAGAAAATCTTCATTAATTTCATCTACAAATATAACGAACTCCTTATGTGAAATTAGGAGTATTGAAGAATATAGGACTTCTAGAGCTTGAGCTGTATGTCCTGATATTATATATAAATCAGGTTGTTTTCTGCCGCTTAAATTTATTTTAAAAATCGTAGAGTACCTTTTCACAGGATATTTAGTTTTGACATTTGTATTTACAAGAATAATTATATCTTTCTTGTTAAAAGATGATTCTAATATGGTATTGGTACATATTTCAATATCAGTTTCATATTTGTTTACTGAAATATTTAAAGAATTAGCATTCTGTAATATGATAGTCAGTAGAAATTGTATAACTACTTGATTCATTATCAGTGTTTTAAATTATATTCCTGTAGAGAAGTAGAGAGAAATATTTTATTTTAAAGAATATTTTATGGTATTTTTTATATGAATGAAAATATCTTTTTATTTTCATATCTTATTATTTTAAAAATGGAAGTAATATACTAAAAGATATTAATCAAATTAATGTAACAGACAATTCATGTTTGAGTAGAAAAGACAACATGCTAAGTATAAAAAAAAATAGGTTTTATTAATATTAAAAAAGTAAACTACCTATATATAAACTTTATTTATTGCCTGTCACGTAAATTTGAAATTGAAACAGAGTGAATGATAAATTACCTAATAGAATTTCTTAGATTCAGTTAATTAGAACAAAAAATAGTAATATATCTGTCAGATCAGGAAATTTCAGGTGTGGGTGTCTATATTATTATTTACAGGGTACATGAAATCATTTAAAAATATTTTTTTTTAATATGTACAGAGGCAACAGAGACGTGTAACTTAATAGGAAAATTTGTTGGGTGGTCCATTTAATTTACATTTATGACTTTCTTTCTCTTTTACATATATTTATCTCTCTCCAATAAAACTAACACCAATCTAAAAGGTCGCTGATGTTGCTGGTTTTTTGACGACAAAGGGACAGAACTTTAAATCAGGATGCATTGGAAAATAAATTTGGGGACATCAGGTCGGTTTGGATTTTAGAAAGAGATCAATCTCAAGAAAAGTTAATTTACCAGTAGTTTAAGTAGGATTTGCTATAACTTTATTAGAAGATTTCCTTGATAATAAATTGTAATATACCAAATGTTTCAAATAAAATTGAAAAAGAGTTAAATTCGAAATTAGATTTTTCATGGGTAAAATGTTAATATTTATTCAAACATCATAAGGTAATCTATAATTAAGGGAGTATGGAAAATAGGTATACCCTGGTAAGGGACAATGACAAAAAAATTACAAAAATGTATTCATCTTTAAATAGTGTTTGTTATTATTTTTTTTGTGTCATCGGCATCAACTGCTACGGTTATTAGCCTAGTCTTCTGTGTAGGCTTTGTTACTGTTTCCCAGCGCCACTTTAGGAACAGCACTGCTAATTAGTACCCAACAGTGAATGGTAGAGTAAGGAATCCTACTAAGGCATCAGAATTAATTTTAAATAATTTAATTAAATGAAAAAATCCCGGCCAACGGTGGGATTCGAATCTGGGACCTTTCTGATTAATATTATTATTTGTTATGTTTGAAAAGTACCTCCTGCTGCAGAGCAGATTGAATATATTAGATGACTAGTTGGAGAAGGTCACCAAAATTAGGAGACTAGGAAACCTTTTACATGACTGGGGACACAACAGGAATGCACACGCACTAGATACACAAGCAGATTACATAACAACATAACAGGGGTAAGCCTTCAGCAACGTCTTGTTTAAATGATAACAGTATGTCATCCTTCGTTCCCTTTTAGAAGGCATGGCATATAAATCTATTGATCTTGATGACCCTAAGAGGAGTTAGCAGGGGGTGTACGAAATGGGTGTTGCAGGTTTCAATCCAGTTTGCAGGATAGGAACTTACTCGGGCCTTATACAGATACATTTGAGTGAGTGTATGCGTGTGTTTGTTTCGTTTCCATGGTTTCTATTAGAATAAACAGTCATAATATATTAATACCTTTTTGCCGCCAGAGTAACGTAAGCGACATTTGTTCAAATGGCACTTATGATTATGTTTTAAATATATTATGAATATATAACAACTCTGTGGCCGGCGCTTAAAAGAGTAACGTTTAAATTTGGCCTTATAGCGGTTTTTCATAAAAATGGGAATAAGCTAGTTATTCAGTAATTATTTAATGGGTGCTTCTATATCCGCATTTAAACTACTGTGCTTTTGGATCGATATGCGAACCACTGATTTTTTCCTCACCGTAGAAAGCGATTCAGGGGTTCCTCTGCGACACTGGGTGAGCATGTGGCTGCCCTGTATTCAAGATGTCAGTCTAGCGTTTCCGCTCTGACGTTAATTGTGGATATATGATTAGTTTGGAGTAGATAGGACCTCTATTTGAGTTTAGTTAGGCTATTTATTTGGTTTTAGAGGTTTGTTTGGTTAATTTAGCCCTTTCTGTCAAGAATTTATTTCGTAATAGAGGGCGCTGATGGGACATCTATTTGTCGCTAAGGTATGTTGGTATTACTGTTTTTTTTTTGAAGTGAGGTCGGTTTCCGCCCTTCTGGATTTTTCGAGATTGACATTCGGCACGTGAATTTGAAAGGTACTGTTTCGAAATTTATTGGAAGTCGTTTCAATCCATTTGGCATATAGCAAAGCAACCTTTTTGTTTTAAGTTACAACAGTGTGGATTTGGTAGTATTTTTTTGGTGAACACATGTTGTAGGAGCTCTTAGGAGGATATATTTAACCACGTGTTTAATCTCATTGGTAAGTTTTGTTCTACGCCGTATTTACAGTAACGACGTAGTTATTCTTTTTGTGAGACATTTGATCTTTTATTTTAGTGCCCACATATATATGTAGTCTTTCTGAATAATCCTTTCACGAATTTGCCGTTCAAGCTGATCTGGTGCATAGTTTTGTCCCTCCTTTGCGGATTAAAAAAAGGGGTAAATATGCTTTAAATTTAGTTAGAATGCTTACTTATACCTTACCCTAGGTTATGTTCTTTTCGATGTATATATTTTCAGTATATGGGATGAACTATTAGGGGTAGTATCTTGAAATCTTAGGGTGTAATTTGCTTATTAAATGTAATTGTTGGGTAGAACTCGCTTCACGAGCCGTCTATCCTGTTACTTTGTAAATCTGAAGATTACTTACATAAATTGATAAGCCGAACTTTAATTAACTAGTGAACGTTGAGTAGTTATTACCTATTTCTAGACCTCGCTTCACGAGAAGGCTATGTAGGTACCTGGTTATTTAATTTTAACTTCTTTATATAACCAGGGATAAATAGTTATTTCTGTGTTTTATCTCACACGTTTTCTTTAGGGTTCTTGTGACGGGCTATCAGTCCTTGTGAAAGGCCAACACTTCTTGTGACGGGCTATTACTTCTTGTGACGGGCTGATACTTCTTGTGAAGGGCCAACACTTCTTGTGACGGGCTAACTAGCACATCTTGTGACCAGCTAGTACTCCTTGTGATCAGCTAGTAATCGTCTAACGGGCTACCAACCTTTACGACAGGCAGGTTGATTTGTATGCCGAAGTAGGACATCAACCGTCTACTAGAGCAGCTGGGAAGAAGTCACGGTATACCGCAAGTTTTGCTATCTTATTTTTTTATATTACTTATTACTATTTAATCTAATTTATTGGGGGGTGTTATTAGTACGTGTTTTAATCTAAACCTAATGTAAACGAGGTTAAGGGGTGTATGGTTTACAGTACATTTTTATTAAACCCGAAACACGTCACCAAGAGCTCTTTGTGGGGTATATTCTTAAGGGTAGTTAATATTTTTAATAAGTAACGGAGTTTTACATGTTTTTAGCCCTAGCGTCCGTAAATAGTACACTATTATTTGTTTATTTGCTAAATACAGTACACACCTCATGTGTTACATTTTTACGATTACCCCTAGTCCCATTTAATGATTTTTAAGTTTAATATAGCGTTTTAGTTGTAAATATTACTCCCAGTGATACTGGATTACTGTTAATAGTTGGGGAATCTGATAGTAATGTACTAAGTGATTTAGTTGTTATTAATTTGGTAAATATTAGTATGTTTCATAGTGTGAACGAAGTTGACCCCCATGTCAACACGATTTATATTTATATTATTAAACTTGGGTATATATTGAACTTAACTTATTATTTATCCCCACTTGCTAACTGTCAGCATCTATTTTTATGGTAAAGTAACTGATATAATATAAGAGAAGCATATTTGATTTGTAGCCGCTTGATGGCCTTGTAGAGGAGATGCTATTGTTTCCTATTTGGAGTTTGGTAGTGAACTGTCACATGGATTGTTGGATGTGAGGTTACACTCCTGGCGCCCACTCCCAAACATCACTTTTTCTACTACTCACCCCCTTCTTCATTGTAGTTAGTCGGCATCCAACTTTGGATTGACATAAATCCCACCTCAGGTACTTAGGCACAGAAAGTAGGTTGCAAAAGGTCATAAGTCGTTTTTCACGTAAATTGAGTTTTTAGTCAAGATACGTTTAGAAAAGTGTATATTTTAGGCAGCTAAAAGGATCTAAGTCTATATGTGTTGTAAAGTAATAAAAATGAGGTACAAAAAAACAAATAAACTTGTAATAATACAAGGGTAACCGTGAAAGACAAAACGTCATAATTAAACATAAACAGTCAAATTTTGTAACATAAAACAGTTAAAACAAAATATTTCTGCATATTTTTTAATTTTTACAGGACCAAATGTCCTAGAAAAATCGTCGATTTGGATTCTAAAAATCCTTATTCATATGTCATAAAATTTTCCAGCGCCATTCTCCAAACATATGTAATAGCGACTTATTACCTTTGAAGCGCCGACCACAGAACTGTGACTTTCTTTGTAATTTGTCACAAAATGATACGAGGTACTTTCTGAACGTAGCAATTGTAGTTTGTTTTTCTGTACCTTACAAAAATATAATTTATTTTTCCAAGTTTAAATATTTAATAATCAATAGAATGTTCAAGTTTTTTTAGCGAAATTTACAAGAGTAATAAAAACTATGTTCACTGCTTATATTAAACTGATTAAAACTTTCTTTATTAAAATGATTATATGATAAAAAATTTGATGTTATTGGAAGCTTTTATATTTTTTAATATACAGTGAAACAATAGTTTTTGTTTCTCCTGTAAATTTGTATAGAAAAACTATTTCTGAACCCATGTTTGAATTTCCCGCCCTAAAGCATTTTTAATTTTTTTCCGCTATTTACTAGTGGCGCCATCATAGACTGGTTGTGGTTAATAGTGACAGTAATATTCAAACATGCAGTGTGATTCAAGTTCAAAGTTTACACCTGTGAAACGTATAAAAAAGTGTGCGTTGTCAATTAATGAGAAAATATTTGTAAGCAATGTTTACGATACTGTTAAAAAGACAAGTAATGATGGGTGTAAGTAAATCAACGATATGTAAAGTTATAAGTAAATTGAAAAGTAGAGGAGGCAAGAAAAATTTACTGAATAAATTAAAAGCGGAAAAAGAAGAAAAGTTCACGAATTTTATTTTGAAAAAGAGATACCAACACTTGCCAAGGTTTTGGACGCAATCAATAATGATCTTTATTTTCCTAAAATGGAAGAGACAAAACTACTGGAAACGCTAATAGATTAAAAGTTCGAATGGGATAAACAGGACAGGAAAGCAGCACTTATTGATTCTGAGGAAATTGTTTGTTGGAGACGGAGTTACTTCAGAATCATTTTTTAATTAAGTGCAGAAGACAAAAAAATATTTTATTTTGGACGAAACCTCGGTGAATGAAGGCTACATAGTTAGCAAAATGTGGCAGGACACAAACATTCAATCTTCACGACAGGCTTTTTTGGAAGGATTATCTACAGGATTGATGGTTTCCTTCGGTAAAGGACGACGTCAAATTATAACTTATATTGGAAGTGATGACGGGTTTTCAAAACGTGCTTGTTTAATATTTCGATCTAAAAAAACGGAGACTACCATGAAGATATGAACGCTGATGTTTTTGAAGAATATTTTTAGCAGATGATAAAACATTCACCAAAGGGTTTAGTTATAGTAGTGGAAAACGCTAGTAATTATTTATCATATATTTGCAGAGAGTTAGCTCCACTTATGATAATTGCTCATGTGCATAACAAATAGATAATAATTAAACAACAGTCCTTGGTAAAAATATTCATATTTGTTTATTAACTACATTTAGAAGACAATCTACTCCAGTTGTACAATATATTTTTTCTACGACCCACTAGCGAAAATCTAAGAAATCTACAAAAAAATATTTTGTTATTAAGACAAAATAACTAATTTTAAAATAATTTATGAATTTTACTAATTTATAAAATAAAATAAACATGAAAAAAAGTCCTCAGTCTAGAATCGAACCCGGGATTTTTGCGTGAAAGACAGATGCTGTGCCCTCACCTCACAGCCACTTTTTTGATTTTAGATTTGCTACTTCTAATTAAATTAGTTTCATATAATTTGATTAAATTTTTTTAAATGTGAACCAAATAAAAATAAAAATGTTTTATTAATCGATTCTACACAAAAATATCTCACTTTAATGTATATTTAATCTCAATAACCGAAAACTATACTGACAATTAGTTTGACAGAATTGCCAGAATTTTAAAAATATTAATATGGTGTCGTGCCCAAGCTTCGTCTTCGTGAGATAAGGCCATCATATTCACTCTTGTTGCAGAAACTACTATAGTTTATGCTGTAAACATTTACAATAGATTATAAAATAATAAACTGTAATAACTAGATAGGAAAGTCATGTGTTGGACACATCAGATACCTAATTGTATTTAATCTTATTAAATAAAAAATTACTAACAATTATTTTGACAGAATTCATTTAGTCATTTAGAATTAAAAAAAAAATAATACTTGGTTGATTTAATATCCGTATTGTGTCTGGGTGCCCCAACAAGAACTTGCATTTTTAATGACAAAGACGTGAAGGCCGCTTGCTTAAATAGAGTCGGCTTAGGAATTTCATGACAGTATAGACAAAAACAATTGAAAGATCAAAATCAGAAAGGATTACATGATTACAAGAAAAATAAACTATTTTTGAAACTTTAGCTAAACAAGAATAGGTTTTTAATTTTGTATGTTGTTTTTTGTTTATTCAATAAAATTATTATTTAATTACCCTAACCCTAACCCCATAAGCTCTTAAATTAAACAGCCTCCGATAAAGTCACACTAGTAAGGTCAGTTTCGTACAATAAAAAGAAAAAAAGAAAGATAATTTCTACAGCGTTGTATAATTTGATTTTGGTCGTCTGGCAACACTGGTGATGAAGCAGGGGAGTAGGAGAGTGTAGGAACGCTTTCATCAGTTCGAGAATAGGGTACCTGTATACAGATAGGAAAGTAAAAATTGGCACTCAATATTTTATTGTGTCTTAAAAAGAATGAACTTATTTAATTAATTTTTATAGCATTAAAAAATAAATTAAATGTTATCTATTTTGATAATGCATATATGAAGGAGCCTGGATTTCTAGCGCCAAAACGAATACACTTTCTGCACAAGTCATCCGGGCGTTATTTTACGCACGGATATTTAGGGCAATCTGCTTTTTATTCGAACGCTCTAAAATTTATGTAATAAAAATTAAACATCACTTTTTAGATTTTATTATTATTACAATAAATTCTAAACACAATACAACAACACAAAGTACAACACAACAAAAGTACATAATAAATGTAGTTTGAAAAACTTTCAAAGTCAAAAGTTGATATGACCTTTTCACCTTGGCAAGGTATAGTGCACTCTTATATTTTCTTTCAAAATTATCAGTAATGTATTTTACAAAGCCAGCCTCATATGAGTACATTAATTTCTTGTTAAACACTGCAAATATAGGATGTCCTAGTCGTAAAACTATCACGAAATAGAATAAATCATGATAATCGTCTTCCAAAATATTTAGCATAGATTTACCATCTTTATCAAGGTAATAAATTGAACCGTAATACTGCCGGTTTAACAAAGCTGGATGTAATTAAATTTTTATCAAAAGCAGTTTTGTTAATATATTCCCAGTAATCCTGTGAACAATACACGAGATCTGCCTTTGATATACCTAATTCAATTGGATCCGTAGAAACTTTAAACATTTCCGTGATCATTGGATCTGGAAAAGCAATTGGTAATGAAGACGTTAAAACTTCAGTTCTAGAATTTATGAGTTGGAAACTATTATCAGTTCTCATTAAATCGAACATTTTGCTTTTGTAGACGGTGGTGATGATCAAACTAAAGATACGGGTAATTTAAAAATAAAATCTTAAATGATACTGTTTTTGCACGGATGGTTGCACTACCTTCAAACAGCACGCTCAGAAGGATGTAAATTATAGATCCCACATTTTTATTTTCAAATAAGTACGATATAAAATAAAACAAAGCATATAAAATCACAAATAATCCACATAAATGCCACCAGACAACGCGACTATATTCGTCAGTAAAAATCACCAATCTGTTGTGCTTCACCAGATTTGAAGTGATAAACACCAATTTATCCTGTAATAATCCAACTGTCTTCTGAGTTTCAAGATACTCAACCATTCTGTCGTTTACTGTCGACACGTACATGTCATAATTTCGAGTTTTAAATTCTTTTGCAACTTTTAAAGCAGTCGTAGCACGTTTCACGCTTTTATATTCTAGCTTTAACTTTAAATTTGCTGCCACCATATTTACCAACTCGATGAGGATTCCCTTAGAACTGCTGATTACAAAAGGAGGCGCAATTCCGTATAACACTTTGAGATTATTATATAGTTTGATGCAGCCATAGAATAATCGTTTTTCGAAGATTAATTTGGAACATGAACCTAGTAGAACGCTGTATAATCTTCCAAACGATGAACACCTTAAACTGAATACTAAATAATTGTTTATTATGATAATCAAGACGTTATAAATGAAGTAATTTAACTATTACTATCAAAGACTGCAAAAAATATTTTAAAATTCGTGTCTGTAATGTCAAACGTAATGCAAACGTACCATCTCGAACGAAAACGAGCAAATCTTACATTAATCGGCAGTTCATTAAAGAAAATCAACAAAAGTCTTACCTTATCAAATTTCAAATTATTGATTTTTCATTTTTCTAACACAAAAGAGAATAATACTTAAAAATGTTCACAAGTATCACTGCAAAATTCACAATTTAGTAGACATCTGTCAAAATAAATTTCTCCAAAGGCAACTTGATAAAAAACTGTTAACACTTTTTTCTCTGGTTTGGTTAGTGGGAATTATTTGCGCATGTGCAAAATTGATAGGTAATCATAATTGAATGGGATGGGGGTAAGGTTCATAGAACAACGTTTATACAGGATGTCCAATTTATATTTATAAATATAAAAACATTTTTTTGATTTAAATTTGAATGGTTTAATGTTTAATGCTATCCCTACGTGGTAATTTTTATGTTTTAATCACCAGTCTTTGTAACTAAAATGAAAAAGATAGGAAAAATTATGTTTATTTTTCATTTAATTTAATATACAAAATAAAACACAATTGTAGATACCTACAGTAAACTATGTTTCTTTTATTTGTTAATTTAATACACAAGGTAAAACAAAATTGTAGGCCTGGGCTCAAGTGGGGGCCCGGCGGCGGCATAAGGGGGCCCGGCAACTTCTTGAGCAGTCTGGCGGAGGAGAAGTTTTTGCTTGAAGACCTTTTTTTACAGAGATTTAGTGAAGAGGAGGAGAAGGTTTTACTGCAAGACCTTCCTTTTTAGAAATATAATATTAAAAAGGGCCTATTTTTTTATAAAATAGTCCCGGGGCCCGACCTGGCTCTCGGCGGCCCTGCCCACTTCTGTTGCTAATGCATTGAGGAAATAGTCTCGATGCCTATAACAACCCTTCAAATATTATATTCTCAAGGTAGTATAGAATTTGAAGTCGCTTCAAGGTAATTAGATCGCCCTTTTCTGTTTATTTGATATGCTCTTAAGTATAGTACCGTTGTATTCAGTAATTGCTACACATTCAGTCATAATGTGAATGTGACTTTACGTGACTCTGATGTTCCGTTTAGTGCGAATTCATCATAGACGTGTAATTTGTGTATTTTTACAAAACAAGAAATAATAAAGTCAGCATAAAGCCAGCCACTGAAAACACAATTAAAACCTAAAATTATGCATTAAGATTCCTGCTTGGAAATAAACAAACCTTTGCAACGGATCTTTTCCCAACTGTTGAAGTAGTGGCAAACGAAAAAAATGTATTGGAAGGTATGTATTTTCAGATTCAAAACACAAAAAATAGTTCTTAGGCATATCCAGAATTTTTGTGTGATTCCACATTTAAACTTAATAATTTAAAAATACCGCTATATTTATTGGCTGTGAGTGGTCAATGAAAATGGAGAAAAAAAAGTTGTAGTGAAATTGTAGTGAAGAAATTATAAACAAATTTACTGCCAAAGATTTTAAAGAAAGCACGGTATTCACGGAAGAATGTACTAAATATAAAGTTCTTATTTGTCATTCATACACTTAAGGCCGTTAGAAGCAGTATTACGTGTGAAATCATGAATATAAGTTCAAAACAAAGAATTGCGATCCTAGGGCTATTCGCGTGGAAGGCGGATGCTTTATACTCGACTTCACCGCTAAATTTATAATTTCACTTTTATGATTTCACTTATAATACTCGTGACTATATTTTGATTAAAATTTAATTTTTTTTTTCAAAATATGTACCAACTTAAAGTAAAATAGTATATTATTTAACGATGAGCACGCAGCACGAGCCGCAGGCGAGTGCTGTAATTCATCAAGTGAGTTGTGACTATTACCGCAAGTTGAATACTATACTTTATCTACGACTATAACAATAAATACTAAAATACAAGTATTGAGAAAGAATTATATATTTGACTAGATGATAAAAACGTATGAATCTTTATAAAAGCTATTACCTTTGTCGCCAGATATTTCTCATCAGGAGCTTCATTTATGAAATTATTAAGTTGTTCTGGCGTAAATGTGTTTGCCTTTTTAGCTATATTTTTCTCTGATTGACGTTTAAGAAACGCACGTAATTTTAAATAATTCTCTATATTAATTCCATTATTTATGTTGACTATTGTGCTTCTTAGCAAAGAGTAGAAAGTCCATAGAGTCGATGCTTTATATTTATTGCTAAGTTCAATAAAATATGCCAAAGGTACATTTTCTGTAAACGAGTTACACCAATCTTGAAAATTTTAGTATACACCTTTATACTTGTTTTTTAATTTTTCTGGTAATAATTTCTCTATTACATTATTAGCTATCTCTCTTATTTCTGAAGGTGTACATAATAACTCATCTTCACTATCTAAATTCATCTTCTTTTAGCACTATTATTAGAAATTGATTTAAAAACGTCAAAATTATCTTGTTAAAATATCAAATGAGATTACTCTCCTCAATGTAATAATTGACTGTTCCACCTACTGAGAGACGTTGACAATTTAATAATTTTAAATTCTTTTAATTGTATTCATTCCTTTCCAGTTGTTAAAAAATCTTTCTTACATTTTACGCCAATGGAACGTATTTATCGACTTTAAAATTTCCAAGATTTTATTGCGCACACTATTTACATACCGAATTATCGTGCCCAGCGTGAGTTATAATAACTCACTATTAAAACTCACGCTATTTGTTTATTCATACTATAAATTGCTCAAAAGCAGTTGAATAATTAATATATAAATTAATAGGAGTAGATAAATGCTATGATTGATCAATTCTACACAAAAATAACTCATTTATTGACAATTAGTTCGACAGAATTGTCTTTAAGAAATAATATTGTCTGTCCAAAATATGAACTGTGATTGGTGGATTCCATTTTTTTGCAGAGTTGTCACTACTTAGAAATGATATGAAATATATTCGTTCAGTTAAACTCAATGGCACACTTTTTCGTTTTGTAATCTGTGCGTATATAAGCTAATATCCATGTGGGTGTAAAAAAAATATTGTTTTAAAATTTAATGATCAGGTAGATCTATATTTTAAATAAGTTCTGTAATATTACAATAAGAAGAGTAAAAACATTTAATTAATAATTATAGGATCGAAAAATAAACGAATTATTATCTAAATTTTTAGGTGTTATTCACATTTCAGAACGTTTGAATTTATACTTCGTATGTATAAAAGCGTTTGTATTTTTAGCGCCCTGACGAATATACTTTCTGCTAATTATCCGAGCGCACAGGAATAGACAGTCCCTAAAATTTATATAAAAAAATTAAACTTTTTATATTTTATTATTTTCACAGTATTACATATCACACAAAAAATTCTAAACATAATACAACAAAACAAAGTACAACACAACAAAAATAAATAATAAATGTAGTTTGAAAAACTTTCAAAGTCAGAGGATGATATGACCTTTTCACTTTGGCAAGGTATAGTGCACTCTTATATTTTCTTTCAAAATTATCAGAAATGTATTTTACAAAGCCGGCCTCATATAAGTACATTAATTTTTTGTTAAATACTGCAAATATAGGATGTCCTAGTCGGAAAACTATAACGAAATAGAATAAATCATGATAATCACCTTCCAAAATATTCAGCATAGATTTACCATCTTTATCAAGGTAATAGATTGAACCGTAATACTGCAATGGCTTAACAAAGTTGGATGTAATTAAATTTTTATCAAAAGCAGTTTTGTTAATACATTCCCAGTAATCCTGTGAACAATACACGAGATCTGCCTTTGATATACCTAATTCAATTGGATCCGTAGAAACTTTAAATATTTCCGTGATCATTGGATCTGGAAGAGCAATTGGTAATGAAGACGTTAAAATTTCAGCTCTAGAATTTATGAGTTGGAAACTATTATCTGTTCTCATTAAATCAAACATTTTGCTTTTGTAGACAGTGGTGATGATCAAACTAAAGATAAGATAATTTAAAAATAAAACCTTGAATGATACTGTTTTTGCACGGATGGTTGCACTGCCTTCAAACAACACACTCAGAAGTATGTAAATTATAGAACCGACATTTTTATCTTCAAATAAGTACGATATAAAATAAAACAAAGCATAAAGAAGCACAAATAATCCACATAAATACCACCAGACAACGCGGCTATATTCGTTAGTAAAAATCACCCATCTGTTGTGCTTCACCAGATTTGGAGTGATAAACACCAATTTATCCTGTATTAATCCAACTGTCTTCTGAGTTTCAAGATACTCAACCATTCTGTCGTTTATTGTCGACACGTACATGTCATAATTTCGAGTTTTAAATTCTTCTGCAACTTTTAAAGCAGTCGCAGCAGGTTTCACGCTTTTATATTCTAGTTTTAACTTTAAATTTGCTGCCACCATATTTACCAACTCGATGAGGATTCCCTTAGAACTGCTGATTACTAAAGGAGGCGCAATTCCGTATAACACTTTGAGATTATTATATAGTTTGATGCAGCCATAGAATAATGGTTTTTCGAACCTTAATTTGGAACATGAACCTAGTAGAACGCTGAATAACTTTCCTGATGATGAACACCTTAAACTGAATACTGAATAATTGTTTATTGTGATTATTAAGACGTTATAAATGAAGTATTTATCTAGAACTTCTAGAAAATCTTCATTAATTTCATCTACAAATATAACAAACTTCTTGTGTGAAATTAGGAGTATTGAAGAATATAGGACTTCTAGAGCTTGAGCTGTATGTCCTGATATTATATATAAATCAGGTTGTTTTCTGCCGCTTAAATTTATTTTAAAAATCGTAGAGTACCTTTTCACAGGATATTTAGTTTTGACATTTGTATTTACAAGAATAATTATATCTTTCATGTCAAAAGATGATTCTAATATGGTATTGGTACATATTTCAATATCATTTTCATATTTGTTTACTGAAATATTTAAAGAATTAGCATTCTGTAATATGATAGTCAGTAGAAATTGTGTAACTACTTGATTCATTATCAGTGTTTTAAATTATAATCCTGTAGAGAACTAGACAGAAATATTTTATTTTAAAGAACATTTTATGGTATTTTTATATGAATGAAAATATCTTTTTATTTTCATATTTCTCATTTTAAAAATGGAAGTAATATACTAAAAGGTATTAATCAAATTAATGTAACAGACAATTCATGTTTGAGTAGAAAAGACAATATGATGAGTATAAAAAAGTAGGTTCTATTAATATTAAAAAAGTAAACTACCTATACATACAGTGTCCACAACTTTATTTATTGCCTATCACGTCAATATGAAATTGAAACAGAGTGAATGATAAATTACCTAATAGAATTTTTTAGATTTAGTTAATTAGAACTTATAAAAATAAAAAAGTTAACTAACTCAGAGACAGTTAGAAGAATAATATAAATATCATAAATAAAAAGAATAATTAATACAATCAAATTGTAAATACTTATTTATCATATATCTGTAGAGAGAGCTCTACTTATGCTAAAAGCTCACGTGCGTAACAAATAATAATTAATGGTTAACAATTTCATATTTGTTTGTAAACTACATTTAAAAGACTATATGAAAATAGTAGTTTGTGTAACAAGAGTGGATATGGACTGTAACGTTTTATTATCCTAAGATTTTAAAGATAGATAAAAATAATAACATATTGGATTATTTAAATTTACTAGTACGATTATGTTCAACAATTCACAATACATCTTAATTGTATTAGGTGTTGCCTAAATTCAGTTAGTTACATTTGGTAATATTTTGGTTGTGACTACTATCATGTACATCAGGAATTATAAAATTAAAAATAAATTCACTTTTAAACTCTTTATTAATAAAAATTAACTTTGAAAATATTTAAATAAACAAATATCCAGTGGATTTACACTACTTTAAAATACGGCTTTCGAGTAAGTTATGGATCCACAAAGTTTGATTGGTTCAATAGCCACACGGCCGTTTCTTCAGGTAATTACACCTGACAGGTCGCTCGTCGGAAAAACGCTAGTTCAGTGATGATGTAATTATGGTTTCACTGACAATTAAAATGACAGTAGATTTTTGAGTGCGTTTTGTTCGTTTTGTTTACCTACATTATATTAATTTTTTACTTTTATAAATATATTCCTCAGAGTAAGTAAGTAGTAAAGAGAGGACAGTAAACAATGTTTGTGTCGCCATGATAATATGGTCGAGACTTCTAATTAGAGAGAAATAGATTAATATCTCTATCTCTTTGTTTGTATTTGTCAGTTTTACAAAGCTTTTCTCAGACAATTATTCCAGTGTTTAATTTAAATTTGTTCATGTTGTGGTGTTAAAAGTAATTGTTATTAATATTATATTCATAACAAAAAGTCATATTTTGTTTTCACTTCATTAAAAATGCACCTACCTACCTTTTAAAATATTTTATTTTATATTTTATTTGGTCAACATTTTCGCATTTAAAATGACCCAGCGAAATTGTTTTACGGTACGCTACTGCTGAGAATTCTAAAACGAGTGAGAAAGTCTTCATTAGAAAGAGAGATACTTATTATATGATAGCGATATTAATATTGTATTGATATTGTATAACTTTATGCAGTGGTGGCCTATCTGCTATTATATTATCTAAGATATATTCCTAGAGTAAGTAGATAACATGCATCAACTATACAATCGTTTAGTTACCAATTACATACCTTCAAACTATTTTTTATGACCTGTAAACAATATTTAGAAAGAAACTATAAACAGTAAAAACGTATATGTAAAAAGTTTGGTTAGAATTAAATGTCAGTGGAACCAAAATGACAACACACCGAACTAGCGTATTGACGAAAAGGATTAATTCTTTCTGTTTTGGATTTGAAAGAAGACAGGTGAAGACTGTTAAAAGTCAGGTGTCGTGTACCAAGTTTTCATGTGCCTTACCGATAATTTAAGCTGGATAGTGCCCCTCAGCGTAGGGTAGGTTTTTAACAATTCTTCTTTTATACTCATTAATAAATGAACCACTGTATAATGGAATGGACAAGTTATTATGTCCTATCCAGGCATATGTAAATCAAGGCAACCTTTAGTGTGGTCCGTAAGAACTTTTAACTTCCTTTTAATATTGTCCGTATGAATAAAAAAGAGAATTTACTTTTTCTCGCAAAATATGAAGTAAATGCTAAAAGTGATATGAATAAAAATTTTATCAAAAGTCTTACTCATAAGTAAAAGCAAATGCTTCATGAAAAAGTGAATACTTCTTCTCATATGAATAAAAGTGAGTATTTACTTTAAATTGCAAGCATTTACTTCTCTCAAAATGCATATAGTACCGAGCAGATGCATGAAACGAGTTCTGTGTACTAATTAGTTGTTTAAAAGTGGTCAAAGGTGGCGGTTGTGTTTAAAGTTGACAGATCTTGCAGTGAAATTGTTGGTATCGTAAATTTGAGAAAAGTTAAGTTTTGTAAGCGACGACAATCACCATAGGACTTTGATTTTAAGAGATTATTTAGATTTGAAGAACGGAATGTTCAGTGGCTGGCGAATCAGTTTCTAGAAGACAATCGCGAGACACGTGGTGGTGCGTTTCGACCAGAGTTGAGAAGGAAAATTTTTTGCGGTATGTTGCTGACCCTGGTTTTCAAAATGGTGTAGTTAAAGAGTTACGAATGGATCAGTCAACAATATCCCCTACAATCAGCAGTGTTATGTCAAAAATTGTTGAGTAGGCTCCTCAATGGATAAAATTTCCGACTAATGAGAACGCGCTAATTCATGCAAAGAAGACATGGTTGGACAAGTATAACTTCCCGTCGGAAGTAGGAGTCTTGGACTGCAATTACGTACGTGTACTAAAACCGCAACACCATGGAGCACATAATTTGATTTTCTTTTACTATACGGAGAATGGTCGTACTGCGCAGCTTTCTGAGTGCCTTTTAAAAGGAGATAGAAAACTCCGCCATTTTGAACCCATATTACGTGTTGCCTACATCTTGGCGCAATATTTTTAATAGATGCGTTTTAATCATCCGCTTCTGCTTCGGAATTGTCGGTTTTCTTGTTTTAAAACGACTGAACCAACAATTCCGGAAGCAGAATCGAATGATTAAAACGCATCTGATATTTTGCTTGCTGCTTTTGGAGTCACAGTTTATTGATAAAGAAGCAGTTAGCTCACTCGGACCAGTTGAAAGTTCCAAAATAACATCCACTCCAGGGATACCAATTCAGGATACGCAGAAGACTGCTGATTTATTATAGGCGGTTGTCATATATTGTATTATCCGAGTTGCGCGGTGTATAAACTGGAACATTGAGATCAAAAGTGCCGACGCAGAGTGAGCGATCTGATTCTTTAGCTATAAACTGTGTCATAGGAATCAAAATGGCCGCACCCTATGTTGGGCGTGTCGGACCTCTCTCTTGCCTCGTATAGTGCCATGGAGACGAGTATATTAACCGAAAGGGCTGGCCGTCACTTAATGTTCAGGAGATATGTAACGCAAGGTATATATTTATAAGTGTAGATATAACGTGGCCCAGTTCTGTAAATGATGCTCGAATTTGGATGAATTGTGAGGTGCGTCAGATATTGGCTAGAACAGAAGATACGGTGTTAGTAGCAGATCAAGGATATAGAATTGAGCCATAGTTAATAACGCTATTCCGTAATCCCCAGACTGACCGTAAAAGAAAATATAACAAGCTAGCCAAAGAGAGAGTGATCATTGAACAATGTTTTGACCAGTTGAAGAGGAGATTTCCTATGTTAGGGTACATATATGTCGGACAAAATTGAAAAATGTACCAAACATGATTTTGGCATGCATAATATTACACAATATTGCAAAGATATTGCAAGATCGGGATTTTAAAGAAAATGTTGGTAAAGTAGACGACGATCCCCATCCTCAATGAGGCACAAGATGATAATTTGAGGCAGCAAGGACAGGCTATATGTGAAAACTTAGCAGCAATAATTGAAGCAATGAATTTACCCGACCTTAACTGAGACTGATTTCATAGAACATACACGGACAAACGAATCCTCTAATTAATTATTTTAGTTTTTCTTGTAATAGTAAATCAATAAAATACCGTATATGTAATATACTTTTATTTTTGAACATAAGTCGAACAACTCAATAAACATTTATTAGACATATTCAGATATACCCTAGAGTGTGTCAAAAATAAGATTTATATATAAGCATTAGGATCTTGCAAACAGTACGAATTGTGCTGCTTAAATATGTAGATATGACTTTCCACCAATGTGCACGATTTCCTTTTTTTTGTGCCCCATTTTTAGTTTTAAATATTTCTTCTAAGTTCGTGCGAGCTGAAGTTGCTCTAAGAGGACCAACCGCTGTAATTCCACGTTCCTTGTCTCCTCAGTTTCATCAAATTTGTTGAATGGTTTCACACAAGGCCGCTTGGCTAGTCCTTCAGATTGCCGTACCCTTTTAGTATGCTTCAACGTGGACGTTCCAGATGTCGGTATCCATTCAGCCGACGTACTTAGTGAAGGATTATTTCAATCACTGGCCACACCACACGAGACAGCCCCTGTAAAAAAAAGTATTGGCTTTAATTAGACGTGATGGAGATCTGCTACAAAACCTTAAACATGTTAAATGTAGACCATATTTTGTAAAAACGAATACATTTTCTCTATAGACCTACGGTCCCGATAGAGTGAAAAAAATCGCGAGAATCTACTTGTAAAAGAAGATTTAAAAAAATATGTTTAAGCTTACCTGGAAGCTGACTGATCGTGGGATTTGAATCTCCTGCCATCGCCTGCAACAATATTTTTTGCCATTCTATTAACACTACTTTCCTATTGCCTGTTTTTTGTCGTCCTTCTCTTTAAGTCGGGTATTCATGTTATTAATCTTTTTGAATAAATCAGGTGATTTTTTTTCCGAACATTTTTTTCGTATTTTTCTGTTATTTGCTGGATACATTCTGCCTTTGCTTTCTTGGCTGCAGGCTTTTGCGATTTTTCAAGTACATTTGGCTTCTCTAGTACCTCCTTCGCCATAAACAACAACTGATTGGCATCATAGGTTCCTATATTGCTACCTTCGTCCATACTTATGTTCCCTTCATTTTCTGACATTTTGCAGACAACTCACAAAGAACCTCTCATTCACAAGACACGCAATTAATTTTTTGGCACTCGCATTTTTTAAACAAGTTTCTACAGGAATATCTAGTCGTCTTCCTTCACGCGTCCATGGCAATGCATGATAGTATTATGATAAATATCAGACAGTAACCCGCGTCGTACCTTTTACTTTTTTTTATTTGAAGTATATGCTCGCAAGTAAAAGGTTTTCATTATTCATATGCTTTTACTTTTACCTTTTACTTGAAGCACTTGCTTATACGTCTACCTTTTGCTTTAAAGCAAATACTCTATTTTTATTCATACGGGTAAATATGTTATGATTTTGCTGCTACACTTTTTAAGTCTAAAACGTAGCATATGTGTTTTTCATTTCATAAGTAATTTTTTTTTTATATGGTATAAAACATTTATATTTCCTTTAAGACAAATGTCTTTTTTTACACCACAGATATAGATCTATATCCTAGGTAATCAACTTAACCATACTTTGAGTAACCCTTATATTTATATTTATATTTAATTAGGTATTTTGTACAGCGTCTACATTACCAGAATATTTAACTTAATTTGTTTATTAATATTAACTTATAAGATTGAATCTGAAATTAAGATTCTTGTGAATTTTCTATAACGTAGGAGATAGATATGCTCATCTAGTATTAGGTATTAAAACTTGTTTTTGATTTATTTCTCTCCTTCAGTCATTGAAATACTGAGACTTGTTAAACAATTTAATGTAGAACTCATATTTTTCCCTATGCATAACTGATGCAGTTTTATCTTTAAATTTTTATGTTTCTTTAAAAAAGTTATTTGGTATATAGATATCCTCCATAGATTTCTTCATTAATAAATTGAGTTTATTGAATAATAGTTTGATTTTTCTCCTCTCTTGTCACTGATTTAGTTGTTTACAGTTAAGACATCTCTTTATATATAAGTGTTTATATTTCTTCTAAGCAGATACTTTTACATAGGTTTTTGTATCCCCTATCTCCTTTAATCGATGCAGTGGCGCCCAGTACAGTGTCTGCCACTTAACGTCTAGCTAATAGTGAAGATCCGCACCCATCGCCCGAGTAGTCGTGTGCTGAACTAGCCGTAAGCAAAGTATAGCGACTCATGATTCTTTTTAGTAAAGTTTAACGCTATATCCACTCGAGTTGTGCAATATATTTTATCCACGACCTACTAACGAAGATCTACAAATTTAAAAATATTTTAGGTTATTAAGACACCATAACTAATTTTAAAATAATTTATGAATTTTACTAATGTATAAAATAAAATAATTATGAAAAAAAAAAAAATCTCAAGCCCAGATGCGGACCCGGGTTTTTCGCGTAGAAAGCAGATGCTTTGTCCACAGCCACTTTTAGGATTTTAGTTTTAATACTAATAATTAAATTAGTTTCATATAGTTTGATTAATTTTTTTTTAAATGTGAACCAAGTAAAAATAAAAATGCTATTAATTATCGATTTTACACAAAAATAACTCGTTGTTATGTAACAAATTAACAGCCCTGCAACAGATAACGTCCAAAACTTTAATAAACTCCATATTATGATAAGACAAATCCTAAACTTTCAAATTAAAGTCATCAACGATGTTAAAATTAACGTTCCGGTAAGATTAGAATATAGAATTCTTTCTGGTTCATTAACAGAACAAGTGTACACTTGGTACTCGTAAGAGGACAAACAGAATACACCAATTAAGTAATGGCATATAAACTGAAACATTTTTTTTTTTATTAATTTGTTACTCATTATAATGTTAAAAAAATAACTAACTGCAAGATGTCTAGACATAAAATTGACTTACTATAAAGTACCATAATAATCTGGTAAAATTTAGAAACAAATCGGTCCGCTATCACACCAAAAACAAATCTGACCATGTTAAGAATGTTTTAGTAATTATCCGAATGCTACCTGGTACTCGTTATTCAATTTGGAGGATCTCTAATTGGGTGTAAATTACCGCTTTCCCATTCGCAGCCGCAGGTCACGCTTCCGAACCACATTACATCTGTAATAAGATTTTTGGAAACCAGTGGAGTGACCATCAGATCTATAATCATCACCAGGTACGAGCCAAGTGCATTGAGCTGAAATAACTAAATAATAGTTTTAATTTATGATAATTTTATAGACTTGTCAGTATTTGAACCAATTATCCAAAAACAGTAATATAACAAACATCAATTTTACAAAATATTAACATTCTAAATAGTATTATGGCTGGTGAGCTAAAATAAATAGAAGAATGGAGTCATACCGAACAAGAAATAGTGTATTTTAGTTGAAAAATACAGTGAAAATCAGCAAATTTATTATATTTCTGATGACAGGGTACTCGAAGCTGAAATTGTAATTGGTGTAATTGTTGTTGAAACAAGTCACCTTTAATAACTGCCAATTAAAAGCTAAAATTCTGTGGTTTTCCTGTATAATCAATCTGTTTTAACAAGTGCATTATTTAAACTAATGTTTTGTGTGCCCAGAAAGTTATTAATATCATTTTATGGAGCTAAATTAACGTTTTCTAGTGTGATTGTGAATACCTAGTTAATAGAACTTGCCACGTGAGTACAAAAACGTATGTTTACATTGATTTTAGTCGTTTCATTCCACCACGGTTAATAGTTTATTTACTAAACTCAATATTTAAATTGGATTTTATATATAAATTTGATTTTAAACAGAAAATAAGAGTAATATACATAAATATGAACCAACTCTCAAATATAGAATTATTCGAAAAACTAGAAGCGCTGATGAATAAAAATACCTTTGAAATAAAAGAAGATATTAAAAACATTACTGAAACGCTTAGTAATAATATTAAAGTAATTGAAGACCATAACCTGGAACTAGAGAAGAAAGTTATTTATATAGAAAGACGTACCAAAAAAAATAACATAGTTATATTTGGACTCCAGGCAAATACAAATAATTTGCTAATAACAGCAATACAAAAGCTAAATGATATTTTTAACAGTGGATTAGAAGAAAGAGACATCAATAATATTTATTTTATCGGGAAAAAAGGAACTGTTATTCTAGAATTCGTGTCGTTTTTACGGAAACAAAAAATTGTAAAAGAATTAAAGAAACTAAAAGGTACAGGAATTATAATTACAAATGATTTAAGACCAGAAGATCAAGCAACTAACAAAATACTAGTGCAACATTTAAAAAAAGCAAGAAGCAAAAACCTAAAAGCCTACATAAAGAATTATAAACTTTACGTAAACGAAGAATCATTCACAATTGAACAATTAGAAAACAATACTGTCTCTGAATCTGAACCTGAATCCGAGTCTGAATTAGACGTACCCAAAAAAGCAAGCAGTGCTCCCCCTACGCCCACAGTGACATCCAAACTAGATAAAGAAGAAGAAGAAGAAGAAGAAGAAGAAGAAGAAGAAGAAGAAGAAAACAATAAATTTCTAACAGAAGTGGCAAAAACTACACCATCGGCTGAAGACACTACTAGCAACCAAATTCAAGAAAAAACTGGAATAAAAACTCAACAGAAAATATCAAAAAACACAGGAGCTGTTTCTAAGCTCCCTGGAAATACTACTCCAAATCAAATACCTCATATACATACAAGAGATATAAGAGTTACTAGAAAAAAATCAGCAAATAAATAAGAAACATTTTAGCTTGCATTTTAGTGATATAAGTCTTAAATTAGTTATTTTTGATATAAGTTAAAGATTTTATATAGTTTATATCTTTTAAAAGATTTAAGGTTCTGAGTTCGTGTTATGTCCAATTTTTTAAATTGAAATGAAACAAAAAATATAATTTAGTTAATAAGAGATTGTTTGTTTTTGGTAAGGAGCCAAAATTTAATTTTTGTTTTTATTTTTTATAGTTAAATATTAGGAAAATTTGAAATTTTACTACTTTCTCCTTTGATAAAATTATTATACAAATTTATTTATATATAGATTATAAGGTAGTCAAAAAGAAATAGTATCAATGTCATTGAAGGTAGCTCATCTTAATACACGATCTCTGGTTCCACATTTCAATGATTTTCGATACTTAATACAAAATGAAGATTTTGAGGTTATTGGAGTTACTGAGACGTGGTTGAGGAGAGACATCAGCAGTGATATTGTAAGGTTAGGTGATTACTCCTTAGTTCGAAAAGACCGTGATTCAAAACGTGGTGGAGGTGTAGGTATGTACATTAAAAACAAATTAAATTATAAAATCTTACTAAGCGAATGCTTTGAATATATGGAATATTTATGGATAGAAATTACTTTTTGTGGGCATCAGTTAGCTATTGGAACTTTCTACAGACCACCTAAAACAGATAAAAATGCCTTTTTTCAAATTTTTGAGGATCTTTTGTGTGATATGTATGCAAAATATGACCACATCATATGTGTAGGCGACTTTAATTTCGATTTTTTAGACACTGAATTACCAGAATGTAATCGTTTAAGTACAATTTTTGACATTTTTAACTGCCATCAACTTGTAGGTGATCCTACCTGTTTTTCACCCACCCGAAGCTCACTTCTCGATTTGTTTATAACTAATTATGAATTGAAAAAATGCCACATAAAAGTAACTCAAACTCATTTTACGAATCATTCACTAATATCATGAAAAACTTGATTTTGCAAAAACGAAAATATCAAATCATAATAAAATATCCTATAGGGATATAAAATCTATAAATTTAGAACATCTGCAGGACAATATAAATTTATTGTCATGGGATAATATATTTACCACTAATGACATCGATAAAAAAGTTGAGATACTAAATAAAAATATTTTGGAATTACTTGATATTCATGCTCCTGTCAAAACTATTCGCATAGGTAAAAAACCATATGCGCCATGGATTACTGAAAACATAAAATTCATGCAAAATCTAAGAGACAAAGCATTAAGAAAATTCAAAACTTATAGTACTCCAGCTAA